ATGGCTCAATCGAAACGGGCCGGACCACCTCGCGAGCGACATCTTGGAGCTCAGTATTGGAAGGATGTCTCAAACGAAACGGGCCGGACAATCTTTCGCACACGTTTTGACAAGTCCACATCGCACTCGCTTCCCGTTAGGTCCTCTCCTGCAACTCCTTTCCTTCTCCCTCCTCCTCCTCCTCCTCCTCCTCCTCCTCCTCCTCCTCCTCCCCCTCCTCCTGCCTGCTCCCTCATGCACATCATCCGCCTCCTCCTTCTCCCTTCCATCTCCTCCTCCTCCTCCTCCTCCTCCTCCTCCTCCTCCTCGACCTCCTCTTCATCCCGAACGGCATCTCGGAGCCTAGAGTTGCGAGGATGTGTCCAGCGTAACGGGCTGGACCACCTCGCGCGCGGCATCTCGGACCCCAGAGTTGCGACGATGTCTCTGGCGAAACGTGGTGCGAGGAAGTCTCAGGCGAAACGGGCCGGACCACCTCGAGCGCGGCGTCTCAGAGCTCCGAGTTGCGGGGGCCTCCTGGGGCCTCCTGGGACCTCCTGGTGACCTCCTGGGGCTTCCTCCTGGGCCTCCTGTGGCCTCCTGGACCCCACCTGGGGCTTCCTGAAACTTCTTGGGGCTCCCAGCCGGGATATCTAACCTGTGGCCATTTGGGCCTCTCCAAATAGAGGGGGGGGGGCACAAGAGCTGGAAAAATCAACGAATCGACACCGGATGTGTATTAACTTGAAACGTTATGATAGGCAGCCTCCTGGGGCCTCCTGGGAGCCTCCTGGGAATCCTGCGGCCTCCTGGTGCCTCCTGGGACCCCTGGGGCCTGTCCTGGGCGTCCTGCGGCCTCCTGGTGCCTCCTGGGGCCTCCTGGGGACCTCCTGGAGCTTCCTCCTGGGCCTCCTGTGGCCTCCTGAACTCCACCTGAGGTTTCCTGAAGCCTCTTGGGGCTCCCAGGGGGGATATCTAACCTGTGGCCGCTTGGGCCCCTCAAAATGGAGGGGGGGGCACAAGAGCAGGAAAAATCAACGAATCGGCACCGGATGTGTATTAACTTGACACGTTCTGATAGAGGGCCTCCTGGGGCCTCCTGGGAGCCTCCTGGGAATCTCCTGGGGGCCCCTGGGGCCTGTCCTGGGCGTCCTGCGGCCTCCTGGACCTCTCTGGGGCCTCCTGGGGCTCGCAGGGTCCCAGGGAGGATATGTCACATGTGGTCTTCTGGGCGCCCAGGCTGACCTCTCGCGCAGCATCTGAAGCTCAGAGTTGCGAGAATGTCTTGTGCGAAACAGACCGGACCACCTTGCGCACGGCATCTCAGAGCTCAGAGTTGCGAGGATGTCTCAGGCGAGACGGGCCGGACCACCTCGCGCAGGGCATCTCAGAGCTCAGAAGTTCGAGGATGTCTCAGGCGAAACGGGCCGGACCACCTCTCGCGCGGCATCTCCGAAGTCAGAGTTTCGAGGATGTCTCAGGCGAAACGGGCCGGACCACCTCGCGCAAGGCATCGCAGAGCTCAGAGTTTCGAGGATGTCTCAGGCGAAACGGCCCGGACCACCTCTCGCACGGCACCTCGGGGCTCAGAGTTTCGAGGATGTCTCAAGCGAAACGGCCCGGACCACCTCTCGCGCGGCGTCCCGGAGCGCAACTTTTTGAGGATGTCTCAGGCGAAACGGCCCGGACCACCTCTCGCGCAGCGTCCCGGAGCGCAACTTTTCTCGGCTCCCGGAGAGGATGTCTTTCTCGGCTCAGAGTTCGAGGATGTCTCAGCGAAACGGCCCGGACCACCTCTCGCGGCGGCAGGGCGCAAAGGATGTCTCAGCGAAACGGCCCGGACCACCTCTCGCGCGGCGTCCCGGAGCGCAACTTTTCGAGGATGTCTCAGGCGAAACGGCCAATCCCGGCCAACTCAGAAACGAGAGTTGTGAGGATGTCTCAAGCGAAACGGCCAAAACCATAAAATTTGTGTGGGGATGTCTCTGCTCCGACTTCCCTCGGCCGGAGTTAGTTTCTACCACAACAGCACCCCGTTCAGCAAGCTGTTTGGGGAAAAACGTCTCACACTTTTTCTTATGAGGAAGGTTTTAGGAAGGTGTTTGAAAAGGAATATCTCAAAAACGTGTCCAAAAATAATGTTATGCGAAAGGTTTTAGGACGGTTGTTTGGGGGGGGTCCTCCAAAAACCTTCCAACAACCTTCCTGAGGAAGCTTTAGGAAAGTAAGGTTTTTACGAGGCGTCCTCCAACAACCTTCCAAAAACTGTTCAAAAACCTTATGGAGGAAGATTTTAGGAGGGCTTTTAATGGGATTCCGCCAACAAAACCCTTGCAAAAACCTTCCTGGCGAAGGTTAGGACGGCAGGGTTCCTCCAAAAACCTTGCTAGAACCTTTCTCCTCCCAAAGACCTTCCTGCAACCTTATTCAGGAAAGTGTTTGCAAGGTTTTTGAGGTTGCTTGATGATTCGTCTTAACGTCCGTCCTGAAACTTCTGCTTCAGGGGTTCTGGACCTCCGCC